GAGATTTTAGGCACAAGGAAGATAGATATAAGATAGAGTTGGGAGAATTCTAAGGAAACTCAGTCTAATCCATCAGAGCCAGTTCTCAGGGAGGAAAATTGGATTTGGGGAAAGTCCACCTTTTTTTTTTTTTTTTTTTTTGAGTCAGAGCCCCAAGCTATCACCCTGGGTAGAGTGCCGTGGCATCACAGCTCACAGCAACCTCCACCTCCTGGGCTTAAGCAATTTTCTTGCCTCAGCCTCCCATTTAGCTGAGACTACAGGTGCCTGCCACAATGCCCAGCTACTGTTTGGTTGTAGTTGTCATTGTTGTTTGGCAGGCCCAGGCTGGATTCGAACCCACCAGCTCTGGTGTATGTGGCTGGCGCCCTAGGCACTTGAGCTACAGGTGCCAAGCCAGGAAAGTAAGCCTTTAGTCAAGTGCATTTTGTCCCATCTCCTCCTCCTCTTGACAGTTACTCAGAGGGATTTATTTTCAGACTTCTGTCTGAAAGTGTCCACCCAAATGGAAACTCATGAGGTTCCATATTTATACAACTGCGTGTGCAAGCAAAATGATAATGATAATGATGACACTCCCACCACTACCCACTTTCCAAGGCCCAGTTGACCTTCCAGCCCTACATGAAGTCTTCTCTGTCAATTCTAGCACATTCTGGCTTCTTCTTTCCTCCGCCTCCCATTTCTTGTCTATTCACTCCTCACAACACTGAACATGCCTTGGGATTTTTCATGTCATTATCCCAAATTGTTATTTATTTCTAATGTTCTCTGTAAACTTCGAATGTGTTGAGGTTTAGTCTGTCTAACCAGATTGTAGGATTTTAAAGTCCAAGAATGTGCATTGCGCATCCTTATTTTAGTAATTTATAGCACTCACCATAGGATGAGCATGACACAAGGGCTCCATAAATATTAATAGGTGATAGCTTATTTGTTCACTGTTCTTGTTCAGAAGTTTACATGATTTACCATGTATTCAGAAGCTGGCATGTTCTGGAATACAAAGGACCCTCGAGGAAGTGTCAGTCTCACCAGGCTTCAGTTTCCCACCTGCAGTATGGAGACGTTAACACTTGCTGGTCTCTGCTATACTGCTACCGCTCTGTTATTACTGCTTTTTATAAATTATGTGGCACATTTCTCCTTAAATAAAAGCTTACTGTAAATTCTTGGCATACGTGTGCCTCACTTTACACAAATGATGGTCTTGAAAAATTAGATGAATTAATTTTATCAATTGAGTTATTTTTAATTTAATCAAAGTATAATAGGGGTTTATCAGTGATGGAATTAAATATACAATAGGGACTGAAAAAAAGGAGAAACAAATAACTTGATCAAATTAACTTGACTTGAAATAAAGACCTTGCTCTAGTAGTGAATGACTTTACCTCTCACTTAGCTTAAAAAAAAAAAAAAAGCATATATAAAATATATACGTAGACTAAACTCTGAATTTCCCTACCTGTACGAGTCTAGAGACCTCCTTCAGGTTTGTGCAAATGCAACACTCACTTGCCTTTCTCTTGTCTATTCCTTCTGTACTGTGGGTTTATTTCCAGAGTCCTGGGCAGCCAGCATACTCACCTTAGCTCATTCCATCATTTTTTTTTTATTTATTTTTGACTCAGAGTCTCACTTTGTCACCCTTGGTAGAGTGCCATGGCGTCATAGCTCACAGCAAACTCAAACTCTTGGGCTCAAGTGATCCTCTTTTGTCAGCCTCCCAAGTAGCTGGGACTACAAGTGCCTGCCCCATTTTTAGGGATGGGGTCTTGCTCCAGCTCAGACTGCTGAGCTCCAGAAATCCATCTGCCTGGCCTCTAGCATTATAGCATGAGCCAGCACACCTCCTTTCATTATTTTCTGCAGAAAATTCTATTACGATCATGACTTTGTGAATTTTAATTCACTGAAGGCTTGAGGACTTATGGGGTAATACACTGCCTATCACCAAGACAGTGACCTTATACCCCACCTCCTACCTCAGGAATCATCCAAAGGCCCTGCTTTTGAACCATGACCTTCACTTCTATGACAGCCTCCTGGCAAGCATAGCCCCCTTCCTAAAGATTCTCTCTTGAGTCAGTCTACCCAGTCTCCAACCTTTTGGGATTCTGGAAAATAAAAATTTCAACATCTCATTGTAGTTATCTTTTTTGAAACTTTGCTTAGATTTCCAGTGGAGAGAGTGAGTTGTTTTTTTGGTTTTGCTTTTGTGTTTTTTTCCACTAGTTGAAGTCTTATTCCACTGTTTCTCTCTCCTTGTAAGCCTTATTTGCCAATCTTTCTCTTTCCTTTCCTGAAACTCTCTCCAGGGCTTACAGATATGCCAAGTTTATTTTCTCTTCAAAGAACCCAGAGAAAATTGCCTTCTTTTGTGCTTTTCTTCAAGCTATTATCCTATGTTTTGTCTCTCCTTCATGTCAGGCAATGGAATTTTCTACATGGGTTTCTGTAATTCCACAGCACCTATTCACTGCCTGACCCCTGTGACCTGGTTCCCTGTCTCCACCATATCACTGCTCTCGCTTTGGTCACCAATGACTTCCTCTTGCTAAGTAGTAGCTAACAATACTAATATTTAGGATTTAATGAGTGCTTTACCTGATGCTATTCTAAGTACTCATGTATTCCCAATCTAATTTGCCTTCACAACAGCCATATGAAATGGATACTAAGATTATTCCATTTTATAGATGAGAAAACAGCCTTCAGGAGGTAAGACAAGGAGTCACATAGCTATAAATTGCTAAGCCAGGACTCAAACTTAAATCCATTTCTTTTTGACTCCAGTGTCAGTGTCTGGGTCTCGTTGGCTCTTGTGCATTCTCTCTGCACCCCATGCACAACACAATCGTGTTACGACTCCCTCCTTTGTGCACCCCTTGCCTTCTCAGTTTGCTTGGTTCCACTGTCTCCTTTCCATAGCATCTTCTCAGTTTCCTTTCCAGGTTCTTTTTCTGACCATACTTTAAACGTCCATGCTCCCTGGAGGTCTGTTCTTGGATCTCTCATGGTGTCATATATTTATTGGACCCCTCTTACTAGTGTTTGCCTATAACACAAACTACATGTCTCCAGCCAGCTCACTCTCCCGTTCTCCAGATCTAAATATCTAAATATCTCCCAGACATAACCCAGACAGCTTATGGACCCACAAATTCAACATGCTCCAAAATGAACCTACATGTTTGTCTCCCCCACCATCTCCCCTTGGAAAAATTATGTTCCTCATTCTGAGTGTTTTAGCTCCGTGAAGGGCGCTATCATCTGTCGTATTGACCAACTGCAACACCCTTAACCTTCCTTTCCTTCAACTCTCACATCCACTCAATCAATAACCAAGGCCAATCAATTCTACCTCCTAAATGACCCCCTCCCTCACACTGTCACTTCCCAAGTTTAAGCCTACGTGATCACAGCATCTCCTTAATGGTCTCCCTATGTCCAGTCTTGCCATCTTCAATCCATTCTTTAGGCAGCAAACTACAAGTTGGTTCAGATGTTCTCTACCCGGTTCTCTGTGTCTTTGGGCTGCAGCTACTCAGGCTTGACTATTGCTCCATGTATCTCATTCTTGCAGCTAAAGAAGCAGTGGCTATCCAGGATTTCACTGCAGCCACACAGATCACTCTAAAATATAAACGTTACCAACTTTTCCCTGATTAACATTCTTCAGTGGCTCCCTAATGATTACAACAACAGACCCTTATTCTCATGGTCACAAGTCAACAGGCTGGCTACAGTTCAAGAGGGTTAGGCTAGAATTTATGCTCCCAAGTTCTAGGATCCAAGTTATAGGAGGAAGATTAGGTTCAGGTCCGTACACAACAGAAAGGATCATCACAATAAAGGCCCTGTCTTGCCATCCTAGTTCTCAGCACAAAATCTGATCTGTAGTAGATGCTCAGTAAATGTTGAATGACTGGATGAAGCCAGAAAGCACTGACTTGGGGAAACCAAGACAAAACTTCTCTATTTGTAGCCTCTTTGTTCTGCATCTGTTTTCTCATTCATAGTGTGTCCTATTTAGAAATCTGATTCCCTCCTGATTACTTTCTTCTGCTCATTACTGAAACTCACTTTTACAAAAGCCCTGTATCCAGTAATTTACACATGAATAAGAATATTAGTCTGTTAACTCTTTCAGATCATATGAGCTCTCATTGCGAAATCTGTAACAAGACTTTGACCTCTACTTAAGGAATTCAAACAACCTAGTAGAATATTAAGAAAATTGTAACTCTAGGCTCGGCACCTGTGGCTCAAGTGGCTAAGGTGCCAGCCACATACACCTAAGGTGGCAGGTTCAAATCCAGCCTGGGTCCACCAAACTAAATAATGGCTGCAACCAAAAAGTAGCCAAGTGTTGTGGGAGGCGCCTGTGGTCCCTGCTACTTGGGAGGCAGAGGCAGGAGACTTGCTTGAGCCCAGGAGTTGGAGGTTGCTGTGAGCTGTGATGGCACAGCACTCTACCCAGGGGGGACAGCTTGAGGCTCTGTCTCAAAAAAAAAAGAAAGAAAGAAAGAAAATTGTAACTCTAAATATGTAACAAATTATATTGTCCTTCAAGTAAGGTTCATTCAAAAATCCAGATTCAAATCCCATTTGTTTATCACACAGATGTAGGTTCAAGCCCTTCACAACCATCATTCAGTTAGATGATTTATTTTAGGCCCTCCAGGATGGACGCTGTCTCTGAATGTATTATGGATAAAGTCAGCTGCCACAGACAACGATCTTCCTGTAACACAACAATATTCCTACCAGCCACCCCCACGATTAATCCTTCAGCCTGTGGTATATACTTGGCTTCTTCCAGTCAGATCCCAGAATGCCACTAGGTCGTCTGAAATAAACATCAACTCCATTTCAAAAAGATTCTCTGCCTATGTGGTCATAACCCAAAAAAAGAGTCCTTTGGGGAAACAGGACATGTAAACAGCAGAGCTCAAGCATCCTTTGCATCCTGTCCCTTCCTTTCCAGTGGCAACCTCATCTTTGACCTCTCTAAAATCAACAGCTCTCTGTTCTCTAAATCAGGTTTGAGCAAGGTTTTTTCCTTACTTCCCTGATTTCCATTGCCTTCACCCTCCCCCCAACATAATATTCATTTTCAAGAACATTAAGTCATCTAAGCAGCAGCATTACTCCATCTTCCCAGCCAGGCTATAAAATAACAAATTTAACTAGGCTGCATCTCTAAACCAGATTACTGGGCACAGGATTGGAAGGGATGCAGTGATGAGGGAGAAACTAATATTTATTAAACAACCTTCCTGAACTGCTGTTCTACTATTTCACATACAAGATTTTGACTAATCCTCATAACACTTGCCTGAGGCATCTGTTATTATCTCTTTTAGTAAATAGAAATGCCAAAGCTCAGAGAGGTTAATTAACTGGCTCTGGATTTCACAGAGATAAGTAGAAGTAGAATTAGCAACAAATTTGGACCAGGTGCGGTGGCTCAACCTGCAATCATAGCACTCTGGAAGGCTGAATTAGGAAGATCACTTGAGGTTAGGGGTGCAAGACCAGCCTGAGAAAAGTGAGTCTCATCTCTGCTAAAAATAGAAAAATTATCCAGGCATGGTGGCACATACCTATAATCCCAGCTACTGGGGAGGCTGAGGCAGGAGGATTGCTTGAGCCTGGGAGTTTGAAGTTGCTGTGAGCTAGACTGAGACCATGGCACTCAAGCCCAGGTGACAGAGTGAGACTATTAAGAAAGAAAAGAAAAGAGAGAGGAAGAGAAGAGAAGAGAAGGAAAAGAAAGAAAAGAAAAGCAATAGTACCAAATTTGAACAGTCTCTAAATGCCATGTCCCCAGTACTTGCCACATGTCTTCATGATTAAGCCTGTTTAATAAGACAATGAAAGACACATTTCCAGAATTTCAAGGTAAGGAATTGTTTTGATAAACCAATCAACAATTCTCCAATGATCAAGCATGCCTTTAAAGGCTCACGGTGGTGACATAGTGTGTATATGTGGCTGGTGCCCTACTCAGTGAGCTATGGGCATGGAGCTCGCAGAAAGAATCTATTTACAAATCAGTGGGCCAAACCACAATGAGCTATCACTTCATGTTTACTAAGATGGCTATAATAAAAAGACAAATAATAAGGATAAGGATACAGAGAAATTAGAACCCTCACAAATTGCTGGTAGTAATGTGAAGTAATGCAGCCACTTTAGAAAACTCTGGCAGCTCCTACCCTGTAGCTCAGTGGGTAGGGCGCCAGCCACATACACTGAGGCTGGCAGGTTCGAGCCCAGCCTGAGCCTGCTAAACAACAATGACAACTGCAACAAAAAAAAAACAGCTGGGCATTGTGGTGGGCGCCTGTAGTCCCAGTTACTTGGGAGGCTAAGGCAAGAGAATCACTTAAGCCTAAGAGTTTGAGGTTGCTGTGAGCTGTGATGCCATAGCACTGTACTGAGGGTGACATGGTGAAAACTCTGTCTCAAAAAAAAAAAAAAAAATGTTAAACATAGTTACCATGTGACCCCTATACTCAATAAAAATGAAGATATAACATACAAATATTTGTACATAAATATTCACAGGGGCATAATACATAGAAACCAGAAAGTAGAAACAACCCAAAGGTCCATCTAATAATGAACAGATAAAGAAAATGTGGTATATCCGTACAATGGAACGTTAATCAACCACAGAAAGGAATGAAAGTTCTGATATATGCTACAACATGGATAAATCTTTTTTTTTTTTTATTGAACGGTAACTACATACATTAATGCACTTCTGGGGTACAGTGTGGGGTTTTCACACACAATCCGAAATACTTCCATCAAACTGGTTAACACAGCCTTCATGTCATTTTCTTAGTTATTGTGTTAAAACGTTCATATTCTACTCTTAGAAAGATTCACTTGTACCCTTGTAAGATAAACCTCAGAAGTGATCCCTCCAATCCCCCTTCCTCCACCCATTTCCCCCTCCCCTCTCTCTCCCAACATGGATAAACCTTGAAAATATTATGCTCAGTGGAAGAAGTCTGTCACAAAAACACATATTATATGATTTCATTTGTATGAACCTAAATTATGTACAGGTAAGCATTTAGAGATAGAAGTAGATTAGTAGTTGTCTAGAGCTGGGAGTGGGGGTAAGCATGGAAAGTGACTGCTGATGAGTATGGGGGTGCGTGTGGCAGGGACCAAAAATGCCCTAAAATTACATTGTGGTGATTATTGCACAAACCTATGAGTTTACTTAAAAAAATTGGATTACACACTTTAAATAGGCTGTGTGTATCACATCTCAATAAAATTATAGGATGTGTGTATCACATCTCAATAAAACTGTTCTTAAAGGACTAGTGGGTAGTTTATAGAATCCAGAGAGGTTGGAGAACCAAGCTGAGAGGTTGCGCAGGCAGAAATAATGTTCAAAATTATGCAGACAGGACATGAAGGTTATGTTAACCAGTTCGATGAGAGAATTTCAAAATGTATATGAAAACAGCACACCGTACCCCATGATTGCATTAATGTACATAGTTATGCTATAAGAAATAAAAAATATATATATTTTGAAAAAATTATGCAGACAGCTGGAAAAGCAAAGATACCTAGCCATCGCCACCAGGCACAGACCATGCTGCTTGCCCAGACAATACCACCAACACAGAATTCAGCCTCAGAGACCACATGACTATCTCTGGGAGCCAGATCATCTGCCCCAGCTGCTGCCCCCACTGGCCACCAGAATGGATTCTGCACTGTCCCAGCCTTTTCACCACTGGCTTGGCAGATGGACATTTCACTGAGAGAGTTTATATCAAATGCCCACACTCCAACTGCAAAGGAGGCTGAGAAAGTGAGTATCCAACATTCTCAAGGTTGTAGGGAAAAGTAGATTGTGACTTAGAAGAGTAATTCTCTAGCACAGGAAGAAAGTGGGCATGATGAATGACTAATGCTGCCACAAAAGGTTTCTTGAGGTGGAAATAGCTTTAGCTATTTTTTGAAGGATGGATAGGATTTGGACCAAGAGAAATTAGAAGAACATTACAGCTGATGGAATAGCATTAAGTAGGTGGGAATTAAAACCCAGATTCTTCAGGAATCTGAATGGGTCTCTAACTTGGATGGAAAGATGATCACATGATAGAGGAGCCAGAATGAGATTAAGCTCTAGGTGGTGCAGTCATAAAGACTTTCAAAGAAAGGTCACTCAAAGCAGGTCATTAGAGGAAATCCTCAGGGTGCAAATTGTCACTTTCGTTGTATTCTGGCCACCAGGACATTCTGTGAACTTGAAAGTTAGAACCACCCACCCCCCAAGTATCAGAGAGAAGGCCTGCAGGCTGTTTCTTCCTTTCCTTTGTTTTGGTTCTTTCTGTATATAGGTAGTAAACAGAGGACTGGAAACAAAGGTTGCTTTGGGGGTGTATTCAAATGGGGACTATGGTGGCAGCTTGAGGGGAGGGCATATTATTTCTGATTTTTTTTTTTTTTTTGAGACAGAGTCAAGTTGTCGCCTTGAGTAGAGTGCTGTGCTGTCATAGCTCACAGCAACTTAAAACTCTTAGGCTTAAGTGATTCTCTTGCCTCAGCCTCCCAAGTAGCTGGGACTACAGGCACCTGCCACAATGCCCGGCTATTTTTTGCTGTTGTTGTTGCAGATGTCATTGTTGTTTTAGCAGGCCTGCGCCAGATTCGAACCTGCCAGCCTTGGTGTATGTGGCTGGCGCCTTACTCACTGAGGTACGGTGATTTGAGCTATTGAGACCTTTGCCAAATGATTTCTTTTCTCCCTGTGTCTCCGATGAACAGAGCATAGATTGATCCCTTTCACAGACCATACCACATCATTTATTTCTATTCTTGAGTTCTGTTTGGAACTCTAAATCTTTGTTCCATCTGGGTAGCTGGGATGATGTAGAGCAGGCTGGAAGAGGGTCTGGCCCTTTCACCATAGTTCATTTCATTTTTATGTTCCCTTCTATCTGGCTTTTCTTAATAGCTTTGAGATGGATTTCCTTTCAGCCTTGCTCTGGCCTTGTGAAAGCAAAGAGTTGAGTTATTAGGCACAATAGGAACATTTATTTATTTGGCATTCATCAAGATAAATAATAAATTTATACAAAATCTTAGCACATCAAAAACATCCCAATATATAAACAATAAGCATAGTTTATTTAATGGTTTTGCAAAGCTTTACCATAAACTATCACATGGCAAATTAATTTGTTAAATGGCATTTTAACCTGAAGTCACTTATAGCACTACAGGCAGATGAAAGAGGTGGATTTTAAGAAAGTCTCACCATGGACCTTTAAAAAAAAAAATCACATCAGCGACATCATACATAAAAAGCAAGGATGATGTATTTGCCATCAATAAATTTAATAGCAGCCATAGCACCATTTGCTAGAAATTCACTTTGAGTCTGAATTATTTTAAATAAGGCATCACACATAAAGGTAGGAAAGAAAAAATTCCCAGCTCAGTTTCCATTAATTTCTCAGCCAGTAACTTTGAAATAGTGTAGAATTTACAGGTCAGCAACAAAATTCCACTCAACCAGGGAGAAAATGGGCCATTTCTCTTTGGTGTCCAACTGAAGACCCCACTTAGGAGTTATTTCTTGGTTCTTGAAGAGTCTTTTAACTGTATCATTTCTTGATTTTAACTGGGCTTAAGCAGCTCCCCCATGGCACAGAGAAAAATGTGAGGGGACTGAGTTTTCCCTGCATTACACAAGGGCATTATCCAGGCCCCCAAGTGGCAACCTGCCCAGATTAGTGTTAAAGACTGTGTCACACCAGCTGAGAGGAAGACATGAGATGCAAATGCTGGCTTTTGTCATTGGCAACTTAGAAATGCTGAACAAGTAGAAGAGAGAAATGTGTATGCTAAGTTTGCAGCCCATTAGAGGAGCTTGCCTTTCTATTTTGCCTCGCTCTATCGGGGGTTGGGGATATAGGATGGCCGTTTGGCTTATTGTCTCATTCCTGACACATAGTGTTACCTGTCCAGTCCCAGAGATGAACAGGGACTAAAAGAGCAAGACACATATCCCAAAACGTCCGTCTATCTTGTGTCCCACCTGTGGGGCAATAAATATTCATATTTCAAATGTTAACAATATTATCATGTGACTAATACAAATATATTTAATTCCATTAAGTTAAACAACATTAAAAAAAAACCCACAATTTTTAGAAACACAGTTTTGAATTTTTTCTTTATCTTGTGTACCAAGAGCCTCCAACGAACTAAATAAAAGAACAGAACAAAGAAAGAAAAAGATCTGAGCCTCCCCCAACTTCTGAGAGGACCTGTCTTAATGCTATGTTCATCTTGCTGATGACAAATGTTATATGTTTGAGTCAATTTAATTCATTTCAATTATGAATTGGTCTTTAGCCCTTTAATAAATGGTAGAGATGATAAAAGCAATCTATACATAAAAATAATAGTTACTATTCAGTCAGCACCAAATACATACTGGCACTAGACTTTTTCCTCTATTGCTTTCTTTAACCCACAACAGCATTTAAGGTAAAGATTATTACCCCCATTTTAATAATTCAAAAATTGGCAGCACCTGTAGCTCCATGGGTAGGGCACTGGCCACATACACCGAGGCTGGTGAGTTCAAACCCCACCCCGGCCAGCTAAAACAACAATGACAACTGTGACCAAAAACATAGCTGGGTGTTGTAGCAGGTACCTGTAGACCCAGCTACTTGGGAGGCTGAGGCAAGAGAATTGCTTATGCCCAAGAAGTTGCTGTTACAGGTGGCTGTAAGCTGTGACACCACGGCACTCTACCCAGGGCAACAGCTTGAGATTCTGTCTCAAAGTAAAAAAAAAAATAATTCAAAACCTGAGGCTCAGAGAATTTGCCTAAAAATTATCCATCTGATAGAAAGAATAACTGGGATTTGACCTCACATCTGTTTTTCCCCAAAGTTTTTTCGTTATTTCTCAAAGATCACTTAAATGGCAGTTACTAATTCTACAGAAAAACTGGAAGACATAGCTGTACACAACTGTACTAGATAAATACTGTCAAATTCTACTTGCTAACTTCCCTTTTCTAGACCACATGCTTGCCAGCTCCCATCTATCAGCTCAGTCTCCCTTCACACAGATAATGATGGTACAGCCCAACAGTCTTCAGTTTAGTTATGCTGAGTTTTCTATATTCTCCTGAAGTTAGAACATTACTGAGCATTCAAGTATGCAACCATTTACACATTACTGGTAGAGCCACAATCTTCTTTGCAGAGGATAACCTTATACTTAATCCTTGGGGCTACCTTGCTTTTTATCAGGGGAAAAAAAAATATCAACAATGCTCAAATTTTCACAGGCATATTGTCTAGGCCAAGAAGAAGCCTACTTACAGACATCTCTTATTTTTAATAAATAAATGCCTCATTTTAATGAGTAATATGGGTACATGAAATAATATTCAAAAAGTACAAAAAGACATGGAATGAAATGTAAGCCTACCACCACCTACCACCCCATCACAACTCTCCTATCGCCTAGTCTCTGCCTAGAGGCAAACACTATCTTTAAGAGATATGCCATGATGGTACAAGCCTTGAATTTATCTGTTTAAATGTCAGTGTTCTACCCAGAACATTGCATTTGCAATGAAGTGTATTTAAGATGCTGTCTTTGTTTGTGTTACCGTAACAGAATATCACAGATCAGGTAATTTACAAAGAAAAGAAATTTATTTCTTAAAGTTCTGGACCAGGCTAAGTGTCTCACACCTGTAATCCTAGCACTCTGGGAGGCCAAGGCATGTGGATTGCCTGAGCTCACAGGTTCAAGACCAACCTGAGCCAGAGCAAGACCTTGTTTCTAAAAATAGCTGGGTGTTGTGGTGGGTGCCTGTAGTTCCAGCTACTTGGGAGGCTGAGGCAAGAGAATTGCTTGAGCCCAAGAGTTTGAGGTTGTGAGCTATGATGCCATGTCACTCTACCGAGGGCACAAAGTGAGACTCTGTTTAAAAAAAAAAAAAAAGTTCTAGAAGGGGAGAAGTCCAAGGTCATCTGAATAGGGCCTTCTTGCCATCCTATGTCAGAAGGTAGAAGGACAAGAGAGCACTCATTGAAGAGAGAGAATCAGAGATCAAACTCATACCCTCAAGCCCTTCAATAATTGGCATTAAACCCCTCATGAGGGTAGAGCCTTCATAACCTAAACATTTCCCGTTAGGCCCCACCTCCTAATAATACTGCTGCATTTGGGATTAAATTTCCAACACAATTGGGGGGGAGGAACATTTAAACTATAGCAAAGTGTTTCCTATTTGCATATAGAGAGAGTGGCTTTATTCCTTTTTTTTTTTTTATTGAATGGTAACTATGTACATTAATGCACTTCTGGGGTACAGTGTGGGGTTTTCACACACAATCTGAAACACTTCCATCACACTGGTTAACATAGCTTTCATGTCATTTTCTTAGTTATTGTTTTAAAACATTCACATTCTACTCTTAGAAAGATTCACTTGTACCCTTGTAAGATAAACCTCAGAAGTGATCCCTCCAATCCCTCTTCCCTCACCCTCCCACCTCCCTGTATTCTTAGACTGTTATTAGGTTATAGCTTTCATATAAAAGGTATAAATTAGTTTCATAATAGAGGTGTGTACATTGGATACTTTTTCTTCCATTCTTGTGATACTTTGCTAAGAAGAACATTTTCCAGCTCCATCCATGTGAACATGAAGGATGTAA